CAAGCTGGATTAACTTGAATGAAGAACGGATTTAAACACAGCAGACGGTGTGCATCTGTGTAATGGGACTTCTGTCATATCCTAAAACTCCAACCGACTTGGAGTTAAGTCGCCCCCTCATCTGGTTCAAATCTAACAAAATTGGTGTCAAATGTTTGTGCCAAAATTTGTACAGCATCATTTTTTGTTTGTGCCGCCATCTTTTCAAAGATATTAATAAATGTATCCAGAGGTCATGAAAGCCCTCTCCATCTTCCTCAAGTCAGACAAAACTGGCGTGAGTCAACCCGATTACGTTTGTGCAGTAAAAATTTTCGTTTGCTTTGAAGATATCAGTGAAAGTTTAAAAGTCAAAAGGTCAACCAGTTCCCCCACATTACACAAGTCTAACAAAACTGGTGTCAAACATTTGTGCAGCAAAGATTTTCCTTAGTGCCGCCATCATTTTTAAGATATTAATAAAAACGTAATACGAGTGCTTATTGGAATGTTTTGAGTTGCTTGCCATTCTCACTTCAACAGATGAAAATAAAGCAATATGTGAAAATGTGGGCTTGTCATTTAGTTGCATAATAATTTTGCACAATAATAGTTGCCCAATAATCATGCACTCCATCATTCTCCAAAAGAAGCCAAAACCTCACTTTTGTTTCCTTCGTGTGTGTGAGGCTTATTGACATCTGGATTAACCAACAGCATTGAAGTTGGAAATTAATAAAAAATAATCCTCAAAAATAAGACTTTGTTAATAATTGTGCAAAGTGCATGTCTGCAATATACCCAAAGCAGAAAGACATCAACACTGTATATTAATTTGTTAATTGCAACAGTCACTCATATAATCGCATTTTGCACGTTTTCCTAGAGATATGGCCGTTCCTTATGCCTGTATACAGAAATGCTTGTAGATAAAGGTCGGACTGGACTCACTCTGGCGTCCAGCAGCAAGTTGTCAGGTTTGATGTCTCTGTGGATGAAGCTCAACTGGTGGATGGAGTCGATGGCCAGCACCGTCTCGGCAATGTAGAACTGAGTGGCTTCCTCTGACAGAGTGTCCATCTTCATCAACAGAGTCATCATGTCTCCTGCAGCAGACAGGAGGATGTGGACGTATTCAGTTACGTCTCTTCTTCCCCTCAACAAGTTGAAACACCAAACTTTGCACCGAAAATGCAGAAGCTATTTTTTTCTATGAATGAAATAATTTTTTTTTAACTAAACATTTATTTAAAAATGTACACTTCTATGCAGGATCCATCAGTCGTCAAGAGGACAGGAGTAAGGACAATCACTTGGAACGTTTAGTCCCATATTCTCGATGCGTTTATTATCCCTTACTTGAGCTGATGACGGTCTTCCCGTCCATTAATGTTTCTGTTATTGATTACAGTGAAAACTCCTTAACTATGTTCGGAACTACATTTAGCACCGTTCAATACCGAGCATTACTTTTGAGTTGCCATTCCTTTGTTCTAACAATCTCCACAAAGTTGTACCTCCAGGGAGAAACTCCATGATGAGGTAGAGGTTCATCTTGTCCTGGAAACTGTAGAACATTTTCACCACCCACAGGCTGTCTGCTTCCACCAGAATGTCCCGCTCAGCACGGATGTGGCCCACCTGCAGGCAGCCAATGCTTCAGGTAAACCCAATTCGTGCAAAGGAGCGTACCTGCGTGTGTGTGCGCGTGTGTGTATACCTGTTCTTTCTCCAACATGTCAGCTTTACGGAGTATCTTCATGGCGTAGACGTGACCCGTGTCTTTTTTCTGCACCAGGCGAACCTGCAGACAGAACAACACAAATGATGAACTGAAACAATTTTGTGAAAACAAAATGTCCCGTCTTTAAGAGACAGTCTGTTACAGACAACAAGATCTCAAGAATGAGTTGCTCAGCATGTTGATGATGGATCACAGCAACTTTGCTGGTGTAACAAGCAGTGAATGTTTGACATGCAGACAGGACAGCGCCTATAGAGCCTGAGGCCCGTCCACACCGACTCCCTCCCAGGGCGCAGCTGCTAAATACTGATCAGAAAGGGTGTATTCCATTCTTACTCATGTTTTTTTGCTGGTCTTTTAACACATTTCATTCTAGAATCTTTGTCAAAATCTACATTCACTTAAGAAGTAAAAATGTACCTCTCCAAATGCTCCTCTGCCAATCACCTTCAGGGACTCGAAGTCCTCCAGTCCCAGCCGAGTGCGTTTTAAACGCAGGAACTCTGTTTCCTTCCGGGCATGCTCAGAACGCCGGATACGTTTCTGAAAAACGAGCATTTTCAGAATGAGTTGTGTTCAAACAATTGCTGGCATGCGTGATGCACAGACACTGGAATTATTAATGATAAAAACTTTATTTGTAATTGTCCAAAGCAGCATAAATTAAATAACCCTTTAGGAATTGAAACACATAAGCGCACCAACACGAAAACATTCCTACCACTATGATCTTAGAACATTTAGAAGAACTTTGGTCAAAGTTACCCACCGTCTACTTTAGATGAAACTTCAATGCCTGTCCTATCAGGGATTCATACTCGGATAGTAATAACTGTATATTTACAGCTTAAAGACCAACTGTGCATTCATCTGAGTTGTTTTGTAGAACCTCACCTCTTCATCAGCCAGCCCCTCCTGGTCCATCACCTTCTCCAGCTTCTGCTGTCTGTAGAGATCAAGTTTATTTGTATAGTACATTTCAGCGAAAAGGTAAGTGCTTTACACCATAAAAGCACAAGACTAAAGAGTCACAAAAACAACACACAGTCATCGACTGAGAAACCAGAGACAAACATAACTGGGGATGCAGAACAGACCAGAACCAGGAGACCTGAGAGGTCTGGAAGGTTGAAACAACAGCAGATCTTTAATGTGTTCTGATGTTGAGCCTTTCAGTGATTTAAAAAACTCACAATAATATTTTAAAGTGTTCTAGCAGTAACAGTGTTTGATGCATGTTATTTTGCTGTAATCTGTGGGGAAATAAATCGAGCACATTTAATTCTAGCAGAAACAGCGTTTGGTTTCGTTATTGCCGCCGATCTCCTTCGACCCTGATTTAAAATTTCATAAAACAAAAGTCTTTTCCCTGAGCTACTGGCACCAGGAAGATTTACACCAGGAAGATAGATGTGCTCCATCTTCCTGGTTTTAGTGAAAACGTGAACAGCAGCGCTGTGGATCAGGTGCACCCGTCTGATTTTTTTTTTTTTTTTTAGACAGATATTTGAAGACACTGTTGCAGTAATAGATGCATCTAAAGAAACCCATGAGTGAGTTTCTCTAAATCTCCCTGAGACATCAGTCCTCTAATCCTGGAAATGTTCTTCAGGTGACAGAAGACCGACTTTGTAAACATCTTTATGTGGCTCTCGAGGTTCACTTCTGATTTCAGATTTCGGGCCTGATCACTAGTTTCCAGCTGTGATAACTGAATCTGTGTGCAGACGCTACATTGTTCCTCTTCAGGCAAAAAAATAACTTCAGTTTTGTTCTTCCTCAGTCTTTGTATGGGTGTTTATGTGGGTGTTATTGAACACTTTGTGTTATTCCCAGACCTACAATTAAAGGTCTGGGAATACTCAGACCTGCTCTCAGGTCCAGCTCTGATGTCACGACTGACACGAAATCTTCTTCAGGCTTAAGTTCTGATAAAGCACAAATTCATTCATCTTCATGCCAGCTCTTGGGTGTAGCTCTGAACTTTGACCGAATCATTGCATCACGTTGATTCTTTCCATTTTCAGATTTGGGATCGTTCACTTGTTTTGAGTTATTAGTTGTAATAATTGAAATACGCTATGACAGTTGGCCAAACGTCAATATTTTTTAGCTAGCACATAATTTTATTTTATTTTTTTATGAATGTTGTTTTTAGCAGAAGTCAAAGCCGTTTGCCTCCAGTGGAAACATGTGCAGCACTGACATGCACAGCCTGCACATGCCGGTCATGTTCAGCCCCGGTCATTGATCTGGTTTAGAAACTCATTTGAGCAAACATGCTGTATGAAGAATCTGATTGGATACCAACTGATCTGGATTGTAAAAGCGGTGGACAGAGTTATGAAATCACAAAGTAGTTCAAGTTAAGCAATGAAAAGCAGAGGATTGGGAAGCTCTGTGTCAATTCTAGGTGGTTTGGCAGCAAAACAAGCCCACAGCATCAGCCCTCCAACATTAAGCATTAAAACATTTTACTTGTTACAATGGCTATACACACAGTTTCTGAGTTTTTCACTTAGTGTGGAAAAGATAAAACAATAAAACAAATTATTAAAGTACATTTTTAGAGCACCTTTCAACCCTCTTAATGCAGCATCACTGGTTAGTTCACTGAATATCTACATTTTGCAACAAAAAAAAAGTCCTTGCATGTATTGCAGAAATAAAAGCCTGAAGGGATGATGAGCAGTGTACTCTGTGACGCAACCTGCCACAACAGGAAGCAGCCCTGCCCTTACTTCATCATGACATAGCCCACATCCTGATGAAGCATGTTCCTGGTTTAAGCTTAAAAAAACAAAACAAAAAGCATCTCTATGTTTTAGTTTAACTTAAGATGGGTTTTAATAGAAATTGTTTACATGTCAGATTTTCCTGTAACACATGAGCGTCATGTGCAGAGCTGAAACATTCCGAGTCTCACCTCATCTCCCTCTCCTCATGCTGAGCAATGAGGTTACTGTAGAAGTTCTCCAGGGTCACTTTGGCCATGGTGACCCGTTCCTTGGTGTGGTTACTCATCGAAGAGCACGAGCTCTGGCCAGTCATCGCCATACTTCGTCTGGGAACATACAAACGTTCAAGTGAGGAGAACAATGGAGACCAGCTGTCTTCACAATCAGAGCTTTCATTTTACAATTATTATACAGGCTAACAAGATTTTTTTTTAAACTGTACATTGAAATAAATGAGTTGATACATCCATCAGTTATATTTACTATACTGAGTTTATTTGAATCCTATTTAAGTCCTAAAAATACCAGGACAACAGAGATGCAACCAGTGCTGACATCCCAAGTGCAATTTGGAATATTTAGTTAACCTAAAAATCATGTTTGGACTGTGGAAAGAAGGCAGAGAACCCAGAATGCACAGGGAGAATATGCAAACTCCATGAAGAAACCCCAGGCAGGGACTCAAGCCCAGGACCGCACTGCCTTGATGAGCACTGCGATAATACCACACAAGTTTTATACCCATTTTTACTTTTCTTGATTCCATATTTTAGGATGCAGCCGTAATAATTTTGGTAGGACACAGTGGCTCCGAGACGCCTTGAACTACTCCACTTTTAATACCATAACAAAGGAAGACAGTAGAGGTCAGTAGGTTTGTTTCTCTGGATAAATGAAATAGTAGCATAACACCAAACCTGCAGAGGAGAAGCATTTAGCAACAAATTGTTGGGAAATGCAGAAAGGTTCCAATCAGGGACAGCTAACCCAAATGGTTTGAGATAAGCTGAAAGAAATCCACCTATATGATCTGATATGAGCTTTCAGAACTATTAAATGTTTTTAACAATTTTGGGAATAATTTTAAGCAGATGCTGGAAAGGAAGCTAGGATCTCAAACAGAGCAACAAAGGTACAGATAACTCTGCATTAAATCAGACATTTTGACACAAATGTTAAAAGAAGGGGAAGAGGAAAAAAGCTGGTTACAGAGTCAGAGATTAAACAAAGATGTTACACAAAAATGAGGAAATCTTTCTGTGCAACACCTGCTGGTAGCTCCATCCCAGAGAGATAAGACGGTTTCACATGCAAATACAGAAACAAAGTGGTAAAATGCAGAAAGTCAATACACCAAATTAGTGGCTTCTTAAGCACTTACAGAAATTAAAACTATCAAATATACCCAGCTTCCTTTACAGGAAATACAAACTTATTTTTTGACTTTATTGGAAGCTGCCCGACTTCTTGAAAGAAAACTAAAACCAAGCCAAGTCCCAGCTCGATGATAAACTAGAGGAGGAAGCCGGGCTGCTTTATGGAAACAATAAAACTGAGCCAGCCACTGAGCCACAACACGGAGCTAGTTTCGGTAGCAACGGACCAAAAACACTTCTCCACCAAGTTCTTAAACGTGAATTAGGTAGCAGTTCAAATCACCATTTGACGCCCTTTAGCACCCTTAATCATATTCAGAGACAACAAATGTACATTTTCACCAACTTCCAGGTTCAGAAACCACTGTCTTTACCTGCTAACATCAGTTTAGCTAGCTAGTTAGCTTCTAAAGTTCCTGGCTTTAAAGTTCACAGCAGGCGCAATGATGATTCCGGAAAGGCAATTCAAAATAAAACCAACATGCAAGGACTTCAACCTGCTTTCCCAATTTAGACCTTTATTTTGACAAGTCTCCAAGGGAAGCTCTGCATTTATTTCGGTTAACTGCAAAAGTTAAAGTTCTCTGAGCAAACAGCTAAGTGAAAGTTAGCAGATAAACGTTAGCTACGCAGTAGCACACCTTGGAAAACAGACAACTTTTATTTTATTCGACAGTGAACTACTTTAAAAGTTCATCACGCTAACTCAGGGCGCCTTCCTCTTGTTTCTCCATGGTCGGGTCTTTGTTCGCTTACCTTGATCGAAGGTGCGGTATCTGCGCTCTCTCTCTTGTTCTACTGATCATGAGGGCGGCGATCGCCCGGTCTTTGAACTCAGTAAGACACCTAGCGGCTCCAACCCGCCCTTTCATACGATTAAAGACACGTTAACGCTGACTTGTTAGGGGAACCTCTGCTGTTTCCTGTTGGGGCGATCGAAATGAATGTAGGTTATGTAACAGGAGACCGATGTCGTTGTCCTCAACAGCCTTTAAATATTTTGTTTTACAATACCCAAATATGCTCAGGAATGTCAGCACTTAGGTGTGAGCACATTTTTTGTGAGGCAATGATGCCTGGACAATTGTCAACTATATGTTTGGGGGCAAAAAAATCTTGAAATTCTAAAAAAAAAAAAAAAGAAAAAGAAAAAAAAAAAGTAGAAGGATGAACTGCAAAAAATTGGAGCAAAGTTATTTTCCTGATGAATCCTTCTTAGATATCACAAAATAACTTCTACACTGAAGAGAAGATGAGTATGAAAGCCTGTTTCCGCCAATCTGTTAAAAAATTAAATAAATTATTTCAAAATAATGAGATAGTATCTCAAAAATAATGAGATGGTATATCAAAAAATAATGAGATACTATCTCAAAATGAGCTAATTATTTATTTATTTATTTTAACAGAGTTGTGGAAACGGGCTTCCATAGGTGAGAGCTATAAATCTGAGTTAAGTTATGCAATCCATATTGCCGTTTTACAAATTACATTAAATTTGGGAGGTAAAATTGTACATTCACACAATATTTCAACTGCAAAATGTAAATCTCTACTTTAATTATTTTATCTGGAAGTAGTTCACTTGATAGCTATGTGGGGCTTATAATGTAATGTTTAATTGTCTAACAATCTGTATAAGGAAATGCATTTATAATAAAAATGATAATCATTCATTACATTGATTTGTTCTTTCTTTATCGTTCTTCCACCACTAAAAGAGGCAGAAGGACTAGTTGGAAGATGTGTTACTGTAAGTGTGGATGCATTGTCTGAATTTCAAGTTTTGTTACTTTGTTGCACAGAAAATCCCAGTTTAAAATCAAGATTAAGTAGAATAAATTTTATAAAGCAAATGCCTGTCAGAAGAAGCTCTACACACAAATGTTGCTCCAACTAAGTTTATAATTACAGTCTTCCTAAAACAGGTCAAATAATTTGAGAGTGTGAGGTAAGATTAATGTTCTAGCAATAGAGTTAACATACATTATCTGAGTTCATAGCTAAGCTTAATCTCATGATTTACATCAATAGTTGTCAGAATTTAATATACCGGCTTGGGAAATAAACCTTTCAAATAGCTGTTAATATCACTGATGCTGACTTTGTACACATACACACACACACACACACACACACGCACACGCACACACACACACACACACGCGCACACACTTTGTTGTGAAGGCCTCACAAAGTGTCTAAGCAACCAAGAAACTGTAAACTAAAAGATTGGAAGTCAAAATATCTGCGCACCACTAGAGGGCGCATGTGTATCAGGGATGATGAGCGTTTGCGCAGTGGAGCTGCACAAACCATCAAAAAATTGCCTTATTGATCTCCAGCAGTCATAAGCAAACAATCAAAAACACAACACACACACACACACACACGCACACATACACATCTAAGGGCCATTGCAGTTCAATTCAATTCAAAAATACCTCACTGATTCCAAAGGGAAACTAAATGTTGTTGCAGCTCATATCAATCTAATGTTTTTCGAAGAGCTGTTGCAGATGGTGATGGCTGTGGGCTGGATGGATCTCCTGTAACAGTTTGTTTACAGAAAATTTGAAGAAGCCTCTGACTGAAGACAATGTTTTTGTTTGTTTTTTATATAAAGAGGATGTTCCGGGTTGTCCGTAGTTTTCTTGATTTTATATGAAAAAAAATAAATAAATTGGAGGGACCAATTAAGCTAGCAGTCATATTTTTGGACTGTGGAAGGAAATCGTAGTACCTTGGGAGAACCTACACTTGCAAAGGGAGAACATCCAAACTTCATGCAGAAAGACTCCAGGACGGGACTGCCAAAGACGCAACAGTCCTGCCAACTGCTTCACGGTGACGTCCATGACCCAACATGTAGCTATATGCTTACATAAACTGTAAAATAGATTCATAAAATTTTACTATCTTGTATAATAATAATTTAAAAATCGAACTTAACAGTTTTAATGAAAGGCAACCTTCCCATTTTCCTACTTTTTTATTGAATAAAAGGGTCCAGATGACCGAACCTACAACAGTCTTCCTCTCTCGGGCGCTTACTGACAGTTTTGCATCAGACAAAATTCTGCAATATGTCAACTCATACACATCAAAAAAGTCAGTTGTTGGATGAAATTCGAGACTCTGCTCAGCGAGGCAGAAAACATGAGCTGCTTTCTTTAACTGTACTCTTCAAGCCTTAAAATCACAGCAGGAAGATCCATGGACTTAAACTAATCTTTACTGGAAATGATTTTCCTGTTCATCAGCACCGCCATGGAGGCCACAGGCTGAGAACACCTCTCCCATACACCAGTGTTTGACACTGTGAGTAGCAGCAACACAGTCATACAGTAATTCACACTTTGGAACATAATTATTTAAAAGCAAACTTAAAAATAATTACAAAAAAACACAGTGCAATATTCACATCTTTTCCTATGAAGGTCTTGAAATATTTATATATCTATACATATTTATATCCACACCCAGAGTCCCAAAGTGTCAGCTAGTGTTTCTTCGTTTTCTCGTTTTTCTTCTTCTGATATTCAGTGATCTTTCTGTGGAATATACCTGCAAGAGCAAATGACAAAGTTTCAGTTAAGCGAAGCAGAAATACAATCATTAAAATGTATGATATAATCATTAAAATGTATGATATTTAAAGCAAGCCACTGTGTTTCTGAAGTAAAAGATCTCCCTTTCCTGTTAGCTCTGTCTGACAGCAATTAACTAGAACTCCACTGAAATGCGATACAAGCTGAATTATCAGCGACTCACAACATACTAAACCAGCTAATCTCAGCCAAACACTTAGATTGACAAGTTCACCAAAATATGAGTTTATTAAAACTAGATCCTCAGCTTAATGACTTATGCAGATATATCCTTCAATTTAGTCATCAATAACTTGAAACAGCTATATCCTTAGAAATAACTGATAAAGTGTGCAGGTTAAGGTGCAAGATACTGATAGTGGTGCAGAAAACACTGCTGGTTCAAGAGATGAACCCTTTTTTTTTTACAAATTCCTCCTTTGTTTTGCTCATTCAAAGTGAGGAAAAGGAGAGCTTAATGTGTGGCTGTCGTCCTTTAAGATGGACCTGTGATGAAGTAAGGCGGCCCGGATGCTCCGCTCTCACCTTGCTGCTGTCCTGACGGCTGCTGCTGCTCCAGCTCCTGAACGAACAGGTCAAACATCTGCGTCTGGATGAACTTCTTGACAAAGTGTCGAGTCGTCTTGGACTCGATGGCCTTGTAGAAGCGTCTTTTCTCAAACACGCCAGGACCTTCTTTTGAGTACTTGACGTAGGAGCTGTAATGGCCGACTGTTCTGACAAAGAAATGGAGGAAGGCTTCAGACACCACCCGGTTCACCTCCTCCACCTTCTTCGCCTCCTCTACATCTGAAAGACAAGAAGAGAAAAGGGATGTAGGGATCTTCCACGCCGACGCTCCTGTTTGACTTGAGTCCACTCACCTGAAACCTTTCTCCTCTGACTCAAAGCGTCCAGTATTTCTGCCTGGAGCTTCGGGGGAAGGATCGAATCCTCATCACCAATCTGCACAGGAAGATTTCGCTAAATGCAGGAACTTAACAGTTTCCATAAACTACAAATTAAGTTAAAGCAAAAATACTGCAGTTACTGTAGCACTTACAGTCACCAGAAAAGTCTTCTCCTTATTCTTCGACAGGTCAACCAGCAGTAGCTGTCACAACACGAAAGTTAAAGCTTTGAGTAACTTAGATTGAGGAATCTGGATGATATCATCACATACATATATATACATATATCAGTCTCTGTCATCTACTCACATCATTTTTTCAAATCTGTTTCCTGCCGTTCTTTTGTGATTTTTATAAGATTTTTGTTCTTTAGTTTTTTTCATTAAATATTCAATATAACTCAACGTTTAAAGCTTGCTGCGTTTTGGGTCCATCTACAAACTCACATCATGATAATCAATCCTGAACGTTTTCCTTCATCTACTGGAGTCAATAACTAACCCTTAGCAAGGCAATAATATTGTTATTAAACAATAAATGAGACTGAAAATATTTTGGCTATTGTTTCCTTATTAACTAGATGGCGGCCTGACTTGGTCATTTTGATCTAATTAATTATAAACATAATTCATAATTCAGCAGTTGTTCATAGCCAAACCAAACCGTGAGTTTGCACAACACTTTGTTCAGTGAGCTACAAAAACACATTAAGGTTGGAAGATGTGATAAACAAAGCGGACTCACATCACTCTGGTCGGTGATCTGGTCCAGCAGGCGCTTCTGAACCCCCAGCAGGTAGGGGGTGGGCGCCATCACCACGTCGATCAGGATTTCTGGAACGATGGAGATGAAGGTGTGCTGCCAGGTGAAAGGATAAAGGAGGGCTGCTACTGCATGAAGGACCTGAGATAATGTGCTGCAGACAGACAGACAGACAGACAGAAATCTTCATCAACAAATCTGATGGCACATCATATTGCATTAATGTATGCATCTACAGAAGAAGAGTCAAAATGAAACACACACAGATGAAGCAGAGCTAGATTTTCTAGTTTGCCATGATTGTTTTCACACACATTTAATGGGGCAGTGTTATGTATTTTCCTGCCACATAGACTCCTTTTTTAGCACAGTCAAGTAACTATGTTACCGTCAGTTATGAAATTCAAACGTGACTCAAAATAAATTTGACTTTGTAATTTAGCGCCTTGAAATTGGTGTCTCATTAAAAATGTTGGCTCTTTCTCAAACTCCACCTACAGGAAGTCAGCGGTCCTCGCACAACATGGCTCCTCTAAGAACGTTTTCACCAGCGTGAAGTAGCTCCTATAATGAGCTCAGAAGTTCCAGTTGCTAATTGC